CAGTAATTCCTCTCGGGTTACATTGCCCTTGATCAATCCCTACCAGGCCTCTTACACCCTCCTCACTACCGATTTTGAATCACTTGTTCTCTTGTCCCTGGGTTTGTTACTGCAGCTTCCTTTGCCTCCACCTCCCACTCTCCCAAGTCCTCCCCCCGCGCCCCCCCCACTGCTCATGCAGGCCCTGCTGAGCCGCATGTAACATTTTACTCGCATGTAGTTTTAAGCGGATCCTGAGAACACCTGAGCTCACTGCAATAGCAACAGGGGAAAAGCCCAGGTGTTAAGTAGGCCCACGAAGTGCAAGTGCATGCAGTCCAAGGGTCACCTGTCATTCACACTGGACTCACAGCTGCAGGGGGAGGGGAGGTGTCAGCACCCATAACCACCAGCTGAGCAATTCAAGGGTCAACTGCGGTGATAGGTTGAGTCCGTTTGTCAGCACGTCACCTTCTTGCTCCTTTGGGAGGTAGCCGTTCAGGGGCTGAATGCGTGGAGTTGGCACATTTCCCAGCTCCACTTCTTTATTGAGTGGTGTGACCTCAGACCAGCCTCTCCTACCCCAGGATTAGAGTGTCCTCAACTGCAAAACAGGGGCACGGAGATCGAGGATGCTGCCCAGTCATCCTGGTGAAGTTAGCACAGCCCCTCCCACACCCCCCACCCCCATGGCTTTCTGACAGTGTCTGCCTGCCCCCCATCAGGATTTCGGCGCACTGAAGGACATCGTGGTCAATGCAAATCCTGCCCAGCCACCCCTCTCCCTGCTTGTGCTGCACCACCTGCTCTGTGAGCGCTATCGGGTCCTGTCTGCTGTCCACACACACTCGTCCATCAGGAGTGTACCTGGAAACCTCCTCAAGTGCTTTGGGGAGCAGACTACAAAACAGCCCGGCCCTCGTCACGAATACCAGCTGGGTTTTACTTTAATTTGGAAGGATGGTAAGCAGAGAGACCTTGCTAAGCTTCTGGAGCAGTGGTTCTCAACCTTCCTAATGCCACCACCCTTTAATACAGTTCCTCATGTTGCGGTGACCCCCCCAACCATAAAATTACTTCCGTTGCTACTTCATAACTGTCATTTTGCTACGGCTATGAACCAGGCGACCCCTGTGAAAGGGTCATTCAACCCCCAAAGGATTGTGACCCACAGGTTGAGAACCGCTGGTCTAGACTGTGATGCAACTCACATCCCAGTGGGAACAAGGCGGCAGCTGTTGGTCGTGCTTCGCAAATTAGCACGGGTGTGGAGCTGTTCAGAAGAGGACCACAGGGGCCAGTGCCCTCCTACCTCGGGACGTCCGTCTTAGGCTGAAATCACAAGGCTTTGGGTTTGCAGGAGGTGGGCTAGGGAGGGACTCTGAATGCTTGGGGGAAGGGAATCTGATTGGCCACTTTCCAAAGCAGGTTGTCAGTCTTCCACAGTCACGCTCACAGGACGGCGGGGTTCGTGCCCTCTTTGCCCCCACGGGGTCCAGGCTGCTCCTGGTGGAGTTTGCACGAGGAAGCAAATTAACCTCGGGTTTGCAGAGGCGTTGAGTGCCTGCACTGCCATCAGTGGAGCCGGCCCGGGAGCCGGCTCTGCTGGGCTCTAGTCGGACTCGCCTTCCAAATTAGGACCCTGCCATCTCGAAACCGCAGTCAGTCAGGTGCAGATGGACCGCTGCAGGAGAGCCAGGGCTCCAATGCTGCCAGCGAGGCACATTGTCTGGTTTGCGGTCCAGGCCCCATGGAAGCTAGTGCCCTCTCTGATGCGTACTGCCTCACCAGGGAAAAGCTCCAGAGACGGTGGAATGGCCATCATGTGACAGACACATGACCGTGAGCTGTTGGCAATACAGCACCCATGTGCTTCATGCAGGATGGCCACCAACCTTCAGTGGGTTGTGAAACTACAGCCAGTCCAGTGAAGCTCAGTCAGACGAGGTCCACCCGGCTTGCGGTTTTAACCCTCTCAAAGGTGAAACCCACTGTAGGCCAGCGACAAGCAGGGTTTGCTTCCCTCGTCGTCAACCCAAGCTAACTCCTGGCACAAGCACATCTTCCGGGGTGGGGCTGGGAGGTGGAGGCAGATTCCTCTTCCTGACATCCCACCTGTTTCGTGTTTTGTCCCCCTCTCCCCTCTTCAGTGCCCAAGACTCAGATGAAGTTCAGCGTGCAGACGATGTGCCCCATCGAGGGCGAAGGGAACATCGCCCGGTTTTTGTTCTCTCTGTTTGGCCAGGAGCACGATGCCGTCCGCTTAACCCTCATCGACGGCTGGGTCGACGTGGCGATTCTCCAGCTGAAAGAGGGCAGCAGTAAAGAGAAGGCGGCTGTGCTCCGCTCCATGAACTCCGCCCTAGGGAAGAGCCCCTGGCTGGTGGGCAACGAACTCACTGTGGCCGACGTGGTGCTGTGGTCCGTGCTCCAGCAGACAGGGGGCGCCAGTGGGGCGGTGCCAGCCAACGTGCAGAAGTGGATGAAGTCCTGCGAAAACCTAGCCGCCTTCAACTCTGCCCTCAAGCTCCTCGAGTGAAGTTCAGAAACTGCCCTGAGGGATTAGATTTGCAAGAAATGGTGCTGCTATCTCATGCCTATCAGGGAAGGGACGTGCTATTTTTATTTAGGCCAGTTGTCAAGTATCAATAAAAACACCTTCACAGCTGTGGCTTTCCTTTTATTTAAAATTCTGCAAAATCACACATGTGGCTCCATGGTGGACGGCAACTGTGTGGCAGGGGTCCAGAAATGAACACGTCCAGGCACTGCCCTTCAGGAACGGGCAGGGTGGTACAAGAGACGAGGGCTGTGATGTAGGAGAGGGTGTGGGATAAGTAAGGCACGAAAGATGATCTCAAAGTGCTCTGAGGAGAAACGAGTTGGGGGTCAGACGTGGCCACCTTGGAAAAGGCCTGCTAGAGGGCCGATGGCAAGCTGAGGGTGGTGAGCGTCTCAGAGGCAGGGGAGAGCCAGCTGGGAGTTGTGCACAGGCCTTTCTGTGCAGTTGCTTCAGCAGCTGCAGGAAAAGACCATCTGGCTTAGGAAGACTGGCAGCTGTCAAGGCTGGTGAGAATCCATCTCGTCAAGTGTGCAGGCCTGAAGGCGGCAGCAGGGGGCACCAGGGTGGGAGCAACTGCAGTGTCTGCAGTAGGACCTGTGGAAAGTAGGTACAGTGGCCGGCAGGCCGAGTTTAGAGGAGGAATTGGGTGGGGTAAAGCAAAATGTGTATGAGCTGCTGAGTGGGAAACGGATCTGCTCTCCACCTCAACACGATTTGCCATGAAAACATTTAACAATCCAAGAAGAGGCTTGTGGGCAAGAGGAAGGCAGAGTAATACATGCAGGAGCCACAGTCTGAGTCACTCCGGTGGCTCGGTCAGAACAAGGGATGGAGGCGGCATGGTTTTCAGTTCAGGAAAGCCGTGAGTTAGGGGGCATCGTATCCTTCACTACATTTATTCAGTCTATGCTGAACAATCTGAGAGGCTGGCATGGGAAGAATACGGCATCAGGATGGGAGGAAGGCTTTCTTAACCTGTGGTATGCAGATGGCACTGCCTGCCGTACTGGAAGCACGGATGGAGAAGAGAGGCTACAGCCTTCAGGATGGCTTCCAACTTGAATGTAAATCCTCACCAGTAGACCAGTAGACAAGAGCATGACGATCTGGGAAATACTGGCAGCAAGGATTTCATTTTACTTGGCCTACCATCGTCCACAGAAGCAGCAATTGAGAAATCAAGTAACCTTTGACACGAGGGAAAGCTGTTGCCAAAGATCTTTTCAGAGTGTTTAAAACCAACTTTTTTTTCCTGTCAGTTTGCAGACTCCAGTGCCCTTGGCGTGTGGCATATTTTCAGCCATGGCACATGCATGCAAAAGCTTGGCAATGTATGGGGAAGCTAGAGGGGAACAATGCATTGGGTCACGGTGTTGGTGAACACCAGGGGTGGCGAGCAGTCAATCGTGAGAAGCAGGATGGTGAGACTAGACGTGCTAGCGTGATGTTCCTGGAAGAGGACCAATTGCTGGGTCAAGTAACGGGCGAACAAAATGAGAAGACACTCAGCAAGGTGGATGGCCCTGGCTGCAGCCACGGGCTCACACAGCAGTGACAGGCCCAGGACCAGGCAGTGTCCCGTTCTGTCAGCATGTAAAGTCATGGAGTTGCGACCAACTAGGCAGCGCCTGCAGTGCCTAACAACAAGCTCAAGACACTACATCATAAAAGAGCTACCGCAGGGAGAAAAAAAAAAACTGTTGGTTTTAATAAATCTTGGACAAACTACACAATGAAAAATCATCTGCATTTCTACTCTAATTCAGATTGGAAATTTACATTCCAGTGAATAGTGAGGTTACAGCAAGGCTTTTTTTTTTAAGCTCCAGTTTCATATTATTTATACAAGGGAGCTTCAAAAAATTTGTGGGAAAATTCCATTATCTTTTATTTACATTTTTCCACGAACTTTCCGAAGCCCTTCTCCAGGAAAGCCTAATTCAGGCTAGCCGGACACACTTTCAACTTTCATGTCCTCCTTGACCCCTTTGCTCTGGGAGAGGCGGCTCAGCTGTTTCTTGAGTTCTTCGATTTCTTTTTCTTGCTCTAGCACCTTCATCTGTAAGCTAAGATTCATCTGTAAAGAGAAAGGGTTTTGAGCTCCTTGAGAATGGCTACTTTCCTTACTTTTAAATGTATGGGCTCTCCAGCATATTAAACATAAGTAGACAGTGCAGTCTAATGCGCATATGGGTCTTCATCATCACAATTAAGTATGCCAATCAGCACAGCAGAGTACCTGCAGCTGCATTCGGCTCTTTGGTCCAAAGTCACGAAGTACATGGCTGGTACAGATCATGATCTGTGACCAGTCGAGTCACTGCCTCCAAAGTCTGTTAATGAATAGTCATTCCCCCAGGAGCAGCTGGTGGATTCGACTGCTCACCTTGCAGTTACTAGCCTAATACATCACAAACCAGAGCTCCCAGCAAAAGGACTCGAGCACGGATTTTAGAATGCTATAATGCTGCTTCCCTAAATCTTACTCTAAGGTCAGCTGTTCGTAACGAAATAGGACTCCTAATTGAGACATTCTATTTCAAGCATCATAGTTCTCGCAGCATTTAAAAACATGCACATACATTTCCGGAATCCTGGAAGAGTTCACTCTGTAGCAGCTGGACAGCAGACGGCCTCTCAGAGGAGTTCTTGCTGGTTAACTGCTGGACGTACTTGGCTTGCACTGGACACCTTTTACTGAGAGATTCAGGTATCTGGCCGGCTCTTAAATCAGTTAGGACTTCTGCTCGCTCCATTTCTGTCCCAAAGGGCTGAAAGAGCTCTAGCAGAATGACCCCCAAGCTGTACATATCGGACTGAAGAAGGAAACGAGGAGAGAATCACCCAGTAAGGACACAGCACTCAGTAACGCTCCTCCTCCCGTGTACCATCCTCTGGAACTGAACCGAGCGTCCCTCCAGACGTGTGTCTGTCAGCCAGGCCTGCTGCCCTGGTCAGAGGGAGCAGCGCTTTCCCCAAAAGGGACATCCATGAGCAGGACTGGCTGTCAGATGAAAGGCAGAGATGCTCCGCCCCATCACCCAGAGCAGTCCCTACCTGACACCTGCCTGTCTTGCTCCTTGGAGGGCCAGGCAGGGACAGGACTGAACAGGGGACGAGCATACTCCCATGCTAGGGCCAGCTACAGGAGAGCCCCCCCGGGATGACTGCTTCTGCCCCCATCCCAAATGAAGCATTTTTGGTAGCGTGTCACCACTTTACTGCCATGAAATCTGTGCTACTTTCCTAAAAGGAGTGTTTTCCTAAAAAGAGATCCTAGCTGGGCCTTAGAGACAGCCAGGGTCATTTTCCTTAGCTCTTCCCAATTACTGCGAAGCCCAATGACCCACCACACGCAAGAAAACGTACACAAGGCTATTCTTTTAGGGTGGGCGGGGGTGGGGGGTGGGGTTGATTTTACCAATCCTTCAAGAATGGGGAGCCTTCAGGACCATGGGTTTTATGTAACTACCGTAATTACAACTTTTCAGTCTTTTCATTATACTTCAAAGAAAGCCTATCATAACTGGTCAGAGACCTGAATCCCCATGGCCTCTGCCCGCGGGGACTGTAAAATAGGAAACTTAAAAATAGGTCACCCGGTGGCTCACCTTTTGGGCAAATGAGAGATAGGACTACTATGAGGTGTATATTTCCCACCATGGAGATAGCAGAACAACTGAACTCACTCCCATCCCCTCAAAGCTGACTCACAGCAACCCTGGAGGGCAGGGTAGAATGCACCCCCAGAGCCTCCCAGACTATAACAGTTTACAGCAGCGGTTCTCAACATGTGGGTCATGACCCCTTTGAGGGTCAAACGACCCTTTCACGGGTCACCCAATTCATAACAGCAGCAAAATAACAGTTATGAAGTAGCAACAAAAATACTTTTATGGCCGGGGGTCACCACGACACAAGGGACTGTTTGAAAGGGTCACGGCATGAGGAAGATTGATAAACACTGGTTTACAGGAATGGAAAGCCCCATCTTTTCCCCAAGGAGTGACTGGTGGTTTCGAACTACTGACCTTTTGGATCACAGCCCAACTCACAACCACTATGCAAACCAGGGCTCCTCCATGGGGATACAGATTCCTTTAAACATTCAACCCACTAAGCTGCAAAGGGAGAAAGCCAAGGCAGGAAGGACTAGGAAAGAAGGAGGGATGGAGACAGGAAACGGAGAGGAGTGGGAGGGGTCTCACCACAATCAGTGTCATGCAACACAATAGGTAAGACACGGACACACTTTTCTGAATGTGACCGAACGACTGAATCGTACGATATGTGACTTCCATGCCAGTAAAACTTTTCTTTAAATGTTGACTGGAAAGCCAGTTTGGCTATGAACCACAACTTAAAGTTTTAAAAGCGAGCAAAAGCCACCTGCCCCTGGAGGCCCCGGGAGGGCCGTGTGACCCCATGGGTGACCCTTGGTCCTGTGATCGAGGGGAAGTCCCATGGCATGTGCTCTCCCAGCATAGGCTAGGACCCCAGGGCGAGTCCAGAACCCAGGTGAAACACCACAGGCACTCTACCTTGGCATCATAATCAGATCCTTCCAACTGCTCAGGGGAGGCGTACAGAGAAGTCCCCACTCGAGAAGTATGCGTCGCCGCTGTAATTTGAAAAGCCCCATGTTAGACACTCATTTTTGGCACTGTCCACATGGAAGGACATTTTGGCCCCAAGGGACTACAAACGGGCTTGCAGGCTTAATCCTACTCTTGCTATCCAACCTCTGATTCTCTGTGACTACTGAAATCAAGTAAAGTGATGACGCACCCTTCCCGTTTCTCTGAGTCCAGTCTGAGGTTTTCTGCAGGATGTCTGTGCAGGCCAGCCCAAAGTCTCCAATTTTCACCTGCTGATCAGGACCGTGGAGAAAGATATTTCTTGGCTGTAAACAAAGAGAACAAGTCGATTCCTTGGTTTTTCTAAAATCAAATCATAAAACCCGGTAGTGGTGAGGAGTTCCAATCCAGGAGCTGACCAAACTTACAAAGTCAAGCTTGGAAAGTTCCCTCACTGAAACAACACATCTGGCATTTACGATGAGATTTAAAATTGAGATCATGGCAAAATGTTAGTCATTGTTAAACTTGTCATGGCAATAGAAAGGCTCACAAAATGATTTTGCTTCTACCTGTCTGAAGTGCGGACAATCACCTGTTTTCGAACATCCTGATACAAGGGCCCCTCAGACCCAGGATCAGCTTGTGTTTACCGGCTTCTGGATCGTTTTTGTACAGTACCAGAGTTGGGAGTAGCTAGGTCCCACTGAGAAGACACAGGACTAAATTCACTGCTGTGGAGCCGGCTCCATCTCTCAGCGAGCCTACAGGACGTAGAGGAGAACTGCCCCCATAAGGTTTCTGGGACGACGGATCTTTCTGGGAGCAAACAGCCTCATCTTTCTCCTGTGGAGCAGCTGGTGAGTTTGAACCCCAGACCCTGCAGTTAGTAGCCCCTAAGCTAAGCCAACGTGCCACTAGGGTTCCTCCTGGAGCCAAACATTTGGCTCTAAGGTAGCAAGCATCCCAGACACAAATCATCTCTCAACTGCACTTGCCCAGCAGTGAAGAGCTACACCTACAGAAATTTGGGTAAGAGCCCTGGTGCTGTCATGGCTACGAAACAGCTGCTCCTTGGAAGAAGGATGGGGCTTCGCACTCCTGGAAAGAATTACCGTCTGGTAATTACCAATTACCATTGGGGCAGCTCTTCCCTGCCCTACAAGGTCACTATGAGTCGACATCAATCTGATCTCAGTTCAGAGGGAGAGATTTGGGGTAGGGGTGGGGGTGGGGTAGGGAAATTCCACTAAAAATACAGAAGATAGGATAAAAGCTAGGCTTCCTTTTTTAAAAACTTTATAAATTGCCCCGTTTTAGCTTTGTTAGGTTTTGAAACTAACATTGGACTGGAAGACAAAATGGAAACACTCTGGCATGGGCATGAGCGCTTGCAGATACTTTCGTGACTGAGTCCATGGCACACCCCGCACTCACTGCCCCTGAGTCTATTCTGACTCACAGCAACCCTCCAGGACAGAGCAGAACTGCCCCTGTGGGTTTCGGAGCCTCATCTTTCTCCTCCAGAGTGGCTGGTGGCTTTGAACTGCTGACCTGGCGGTTAGCACGTCCACCCTCACTACGCCATCACCATCAGTAGGAAGGCCTAAAAAGAATGCTGAAATGTGGCAGGGGGGTGAATAGGGAATAATTAAGGGACAGTTTTGAAAAGGGTTGCCTCTGCTCCCAGGAGTGGGCTGCATGCATGGATAGCTCTTTGAAGCAACAATACTGAAAGTTCTAGAACTAGACAGAAGGAATCATCCATCACCAAGAATCTGAAGCTGACTGGCCCCAGGTTGGCAGTTCCCCCTGGGGTGTCACGCTTAGGTTTTCTCATGGGCAACATAAGCAGGGGAGAAGCCAGGCGCCAGGGAGCTGACAGGCCCGTGTCAGGGGAAGCTGCCTTGCCTGGAGCCCTTCACAGGAGCCTCTACAAAGCCATCCTGCGAGAAGACTGCAGTGCCATACAGACACTGCTACGGGGCCACCCCGTTGACCAGCCCATAGCCATCCTGGCCGATGCCCCCGGCCACAGACGCCAGCTGAACCAGGTATTCTTCTCTCTGCTTGGCCCCCCTCAGGAAAACCCCACCTCCTCCTCGTTGCTGCTGTTGCTGTGAGGAGCTGGCTCACAGCCCTGAGTCCCCCCAGAATGAAGCGCTGCCCGGGCTGTGCCCGCCTCACAATCATGGCTGTATCTTTAAGCCCACTGGTGCAGTCACCGTGTCCCTCATCTTGTAATGGGTCCTATTATGAGGGGTCCATCTTCTGGCACCCTTTCAGATGATGGTCAGCAGCTATTGATGAGGGTTTCAGTGGCTAGATTTTCAAAAGTGGACCACCGCTTCCTCTTTCCTAGTTTGGCTTAGTCCTGAAGCCCTGCTGGAATCTGTCCCCCTTGGGTGGCCCTGCTGGTATCTCAAATCCCAGTGGCATAGCTTCTAGCATCAAAGCAAGCCACCATGGGACAACAAACTGACAGAGGAGGGGTGGACGGAGGGATGTGCCCCTTGCGCTGCTGGAAGCTCGGGCTCCCAGCCCAGGCCGAGCTGGGGGTACAGAGTGTTGCACAGAGCCCAGCCCAGCCTACCCGCTTTTCCTCTCCACCCCACCCGCTTTTCCTCTACACCCCACCTGCTTTTCCTCTCCACCCCACCACGGGCTTAGCTAAGCGTCCCCAAAAGTAACTTAAGAGCAAGTCCCATTCACTGGACCAGAGGTTCTCAAACTTTTTAAACAGGGGCCAGTTCACTGTCCCTCAGACCCGTTGGAGGGTCGGACTATAGTTTTAAAAAAAAACTATGAACAAATGCCTATGCACACTGCACATATCTTATTTTGAAGTAAAAAACAAAATGGGCCAAAAACACCCGGCGGCCTGGATACATATCCTCGGCGGGCCGCATGTGGCCCTCGGGCCGTAGTTTGAGGACCCCTGCACTGGACCCTTGAGGAGTGCTTCCCAAGCGGCAACCTTCAAAGCGTTGCCTCGGTCACTTGGCATTTCTCTCCCACCGGGTTTACAGCATTTGGAAATCACCAGGGTTTTGCCAGTCATTGAAAATGAACAAAAGAAAAGGTGCATTTCAAGCTCCCTATTAAACTGATTGTGATGATGATTATACAACACTTCTTAATATGAACGAATTATTGAATTATGCAATACTTAATTCTATCTCATTAAAACTACTCTAAAAAATAAAGAAAAAATTCTGAACCAGTGGGAAACTAAACTAAAGTCAAACCCACTGCCACGGGGTCGATTTCAACTCTTAGGGATTGTAAATCGCGATGAATTTCCGAGGCCGTGAATCTTTATAAGAGTGGACAACCTCATCTTTCTCCCAAAGAGCTGCTGGTGAATTGGAACCACTGACCTTGCAGTTAGCAGCCGAATGCCTAACCCACAGTGTCACCAGGGCTCCGTCAAGGGAGACTAGGTACACTTTTTAACCCCTCGATGGTAAGCAACCACACTTTTCTGCCTGGCTACCGAGGGGGACCTGTCATGTAGCCTGTTGTTGTTTTCCCTCCAATCAGACGCAGTGTGTTTTGCCCATTCACCTGGCGGCCCAGCACCACCGAGCCCAGAGTCTGCTCTGCCTGCTACAGCATGGTGCTGACCCGGAGGCCAGGTGAGTCCCCAGCACAGCTAGGTGAGTCCACGGTGTAAGACGGGCCTTCTTCCTCAGTGAAGCCCAGCTGCCCCTGGCCTCGCTCATTCTTCACACCTCTGGGCCTACAAATGGCCACCTCCCAAGGGACACTCTGGGCAGAAAAGGGAGGGTCACTAACTAAAGGCAGGCAGGGGCCTAAGTGTTCAGCCAAGTACTAGGGGTACTGGAGAGTTATGGGGCTGGGGGGGGCTCACCAAAGTTCCTGGAAATACTCCATTTTGTTTGAGTGCCACTGTCCAGGGCCACGGGTCTCTGGCTTATCCCCCTTGCTGGAAGGTGGACCCTGGAAGGGGACCAAGCAAGCAGTTCTGGCACATGGCTGCCCTGTGGAAGGCTGGAGGCCTGAGTCCATGCAGAGCCCCTCAGAGGATCTTCTCCCCCAATGGGCCACGGAGAGGCGGGCGGAGCCCGGTTTACTGACACACCAGAGGTCGCCCTGGGCTGCAGTCCACTCAACAGAAACTGCTTTCCTGACGATAAAACAAACACACATGCTCCTCACATCCGAGGCTGTGGCTCTTTATGGGAGCAACAGCATCCTTTTCCTGTAGAGTAGTTGGTGGGTCTGAACACACGACCTTGTGGTTAGCAGCCCAAAGCTTACCCACCACCACCACCACCACCACCACCAAGGCTCGTTATGCCTGAAAGTAAGTGCTCAAAAATACTTTCTGGATGAGAGGACCACATGGCATAGTAAAAACAGACTCTCTAATGCAAAGAAGTTAAACAGTAAAATTAAATTCAGCCCAGGTCTTCCCCACACTCCAGAGGGTCGGTCACCAGGTCAGGCTTGCTCTCGGCCCCCCTCCTCCCTCCTCAGACTAGCCTGACGGACCCTTGCCCAGGGCTCCTGGTGCACCCTTTCCTAGCCCTCATACCATGCGCTAGCCTGGCTTCGTGCCACTTTCTGACTCTGGCCCCAACTCCCGGGGTCTACTGGCTTGTTAAGACAGCTTTCACGTATGTCTTCCACTTTAGGCTGAAAGTTGGGCTTGGGGCAGGACGGGCCTACTGATGCCCCGCACCCCGAGCCCAGGGCCCTTCACGGACTAAATACTCATACAAGGGACACCGCCACCTCCTCCCAGCTCTTGTGAGAAACCTTCCGTTTCCTCTGCGTTTGGGAGGCGGTGCTGAGTGGCTTCCCAGACTGCCAAGTGACACGGGCTCCTGAGCCCACCTTGGCATCTGGTTGGGCTACATGGACAGCAGGGTAAACAGAGGGCTGCCCGAGCAGGGGCAGTGGCTGATTCTGACCCACGACACCCTCCTGTGTGCCCGAGCAGAATGGGGTCCATAAGCTGGCCCCAAGGCGACCTTTCCAGGAGACCCCCAGGCCTTTCTCCTGATATGCCCCTGGGTAGACTCAAAGCTCCAACCTTCTGATCGACAGCTAAGTGCCTTACCTGTTTGCACCACCCAGGAATGGGGAAGGGCATCGAGACCCAGGTGGGGGTTCTGGCCCTTTGGGATTCACGTCTGAGGTAACACCAGCTCACATTTGGGGTAACCCACAGTTGTCCTGACACAGGCATAACTAACAGGGAGGCCTTAGGAGGCCCACAGTCTCCTCAGGGGCAACACATCGAACAGGCTGCTAGAGAAAAAGGGCGCTGCACCCCACACACCCCTGCCATGCTCTGACACATGCCGCTCTGCGCCTCCCACAAAACGCCGACATGCTGGGGGGTGCAGCACGCACGAAGGGCTTCAGAGAAATGTGGCTTCTCCAGCCTGCATTCTTTAGAGAAGGCACTTCTGAGGGTGACTGGGGTGTAACCTGTGACCCATACTGTTCTAGGGACACCGGGGGCCTCACGACCCTTCACCAGCTGCTGCTGTACTGGCCAGTTGAGTCCAGGGCTCGGACGCCGGGGCCCTGGCGCCAGAAGGCGCTGGCGGACACGCCAAGCAACGCGGAAGCGCAGAGCCGCGCAGCCTGCTGCCTCCGCATCCTGTGTGAGCACGGCGCATGCGTGAAGGCGGGCGTGGGCGGCCACGGGGGACCCTCGCCCTTGCACCTGGCTGTCATCTGCGGGGCCTCCCAGGGCCTCTCTGTTCTGGTCCAGAGCGGCGCCCTGGTCGAGGCCGTCAATGAGTCCTGCATGACGCCCCTGCACGTGGCCGCGAGCACGCTGAACAGAGATATGCTGGAGACGCTCATGGTCTGCGGCGCCGACGTGAACGCGGTGGCATCCACAGGGGGCACGGCCCTACACCTGGCAGTGGACACTGCGTCGGGCAAGGCCGGCTGGCTGCTGGCGGCGGGCGTGGGCTGCATCCACACGCTCTTGACGCACGGGGCCCGTGTCAACGCCCAGGACCACCTGGGCCAGACAGCCCTGCACAAGGCCTGCTTTGGTGGCAGGGATGCGATCGTCAGTCTCCTGCTGGAGTTCGAAGCAAGCGTGAACATCCTGGCGAGGGACGGGGAGTCCCCCATCTACAGGTTCCTTCAGCGCGGCTCCAACATTCGTAATGCGGCCCTGTTGGCCAGGCTGCTGAACCGCTCCTACCCTCTGAGACTGGCCAACCACCAAGGGCGGCTCCCTGCCGGCATCATGCTCCCAGAGGCCCACCTCCTGCGGGGAGCACTGGTGGCCTGGTCACAGGAGCCCTTAGCTCTGGAGGACATCTGTAAGAGGTACCTCCGGAATGCCTACGGTGACCGGTGTAAGCACCACTTGAAGCAGATCCTGCCCAGGAAGGTCTGGCACTCTGTGTACAGCTATCAGGAAGGAGTCGGCCCCCTGACGTGAGCCCACCAAGGGCACGACGCCATGGAGTGTCGTGCTAACACATACGCTGCCTATGTGCCCAGAGAGCCCCTGGCCCGTCGTCCTGGGACACCTCCCCCACACAAACACGGACGCTGTGGATTCTTAGAGCTGACCGCCCACAATAAAGTGATCTGACCACTGGCTGGCTGTGTTTCGGAGGGGTTCAGAAAGAAACACCGACCAATGACTTCAAACACCAAACAAGCTCGGCAACCACAGAAGTTGTGAGACCCCTTCTCCCCGCCCCCCCCCCTTCTCTTTCACAAGTGCTTACAATTTCAAAGGTCTTGATAGATTTTTTTCTTTTAACTGCAGCAGCAAAATACAATAGACCCTTTTAAAAGGTTGCTAAAGCCTCCGCAGGGGCAGTGAATGATCGAATGTGGCTCTTCTAGGTTAAGTCCTTAACACCAGCCAACCAGCCTTTCCCTGCAAGGGTCTGGGAAGAAGCGGGGTGGTGGTGCTACTGATAGGATTCTCCTGTGAATTATTGGGAACAGGGTTTCCTGGCGTGGCAGCCTGAGGTGTAGCTAACGAGCCCTCTGAGAAGCAGGAGGGGAACTCATTACCAGTAAGAGCCAGGAGTAGGGTGTGTCGTGGACCCGAGATCCCTGCTCAGGGAACCTCCTGGATCTGTGACAGCTCTACCATCAGAGGAGCAGCAGCAGAACTGGGGCCAGAACATGGAACAGAGTGATGGGCTTCCTAACCCACGGAACAAGTAAAGGGGAGTGCTTTTGTGCAGGAGGCTGGCTTGTGGAGTGGGGTGCCCCTCGGCACATAATTCAGGGAGCGGGGTCTGCTGACCACTGAGCTTGACCTGAATGCCTTCGGGCTGAGGCTTCCAGCAGAACGAGATGCCCCTTTGGGCAGACTGGCAGACCTGAAATGTTGTAACATGTCCTGGTAAACAACTACCCTGGGCATTTCTCACTGGCATGACAGCTTGTTAACTTCCTCAATATACCCATTAATCATGAATTTTGTGAGTTTCTGTGTACCCACTGCTTTAGATATAAGAACCTAGAGGTAAATTATAGAACACTAATTCAAACAACACAGTCTCTTTTTCTGGAGGTGGGTGGTGAAGGGTTTACCTGTAGGCTTTGTCATCATGAAGTGTGCAGAGCAGCACACACTTGCACCTGGAGTATTCTTACCCCCGAGTCACAGCACTACTAGTTCAGAGGGAACCAGCTCTGGCTACGTCTGTGTTCAGAGCCTTCTAGAAAAGGAACGCCGAGCTCAGTGCACTCAGCATGGTGTCTCCTTCAACCAACGAACCAGCATCAGGTCAACCCTGAGAAAACCAAAGGCCGCGCTGCAACCAGCGGCCTTGCAGGACAGAGGAGAACCGCCCCAGCCAGCCTCCAGGGCCAATCTTTCGGAAGCCAACTGCTGCATCCTTCTCCCCCAAAGCAGCTGGCGAGTTTGAGCCTGGGACTTTCAGTTAGTGGTCGGGTGCTTTACATTAAAGACTGCGCCACCGGGCCCTTCAGGAGACCACCCCCTACCCCACTTACCTTCAGATCTCTGTGCATAATGCCCATGTTATGTATGTAGCAGACACCTTCCACCAACTCTTGAAAAATTTTCGTTGCGACACTGACCATAACATAAGGACCTTGAAGCAAAAAGGATACATTTCATTCCTCTTTCTCTTCACTCAAGTACATGAACATCTAAATGTTCAGGTCATTTTAAGTACATTCTCATCTGACGCCGAGGGGACATTGAGATTTTCAGCAAAGATGCGGCAGGGGTTGAGCTGGGTGCTCGGGAGGCAATTCTGACTCACAGCAAGCCCCCAGGACATAGTAGAACAGTTACTACTGGGTTGTGATCTTTACAGGAGTAGTCACCAGGCTCCCTCCCTAGGAGCCACTGGGTAATTTAGAGCAACACCTTTCAATTAGTCAGCAATGGAGCCCGCCACTGCTTTCCTATGGTGTGTCTGAAATAATGGTTCTGATGTGAACCCACTTGGGGAGGCCAGGTGGTGTAGTCAATCTGGACAGACACAGACAGCGTCATCTTCCTCCCTCCAAGCAGCTGGTGGGTTCAAACATGTAAGGAGTCCTGCTGGATTAAGCATTGGGCTGCCAACTGCAAGGTTGGTGGTTCAATCCC